CCTCACCCCTCCAGTACGTGAAAGCTCTCTCTCTGTCCCCACCCCGCTTCAAATAAAGTGAAAATTGCAATAAAAATTGCAATGGTGTGATACAACACAGACAAGATGGCAAGACAAACAGCAAAGTGGGGGAAATGTTTACGACTCATCTCACAGAGACAGGGCTCACCTGGAAATCTCTAAAGCACTCCTACATGGTAAATTTTTTTTTCTTTTTAAAGAAAGAGGCACAGAGAGTGAGAAAGACCGAGAACCAAAAAACCAAATAGAAAAAAAAAAATGGGTAAGGGCAAACACAGGCAGACGTAGTTGACAGAATAGGAGACAGCGATGGTTGGAGGACAGGTGCAGCTCGCCTTGCTCAGGAGAAAATAAAACGGCTCTGCGGGGCGCAGCTGGCCACAAGCATGTGGGAGTCACTGTGTACCAGAGCAGGTGTTTACGTGCAACGGGGGAGGGGTAGGGGGCCTTCAGGCCTGTGGGTCCTGGGATCTCCCCAGCAGTGGGACTCTGAAACACCTGGGGAGCTCTGGCCAGCCCCAGTGCCCGCAGGCCACGCCCACAAGGCCTTCAAGGAGGGCGCCAGGGCCCCAGGGCCCGCTCTGTGCAGCTGGGCAAGCTCCACTGCCCTGGACCCAGGCTCAGGCGAGTCAGCTCATGCCTGGTGGCCTTGTAGGAGGAGGCAGCCACTCCAGACCCTGGGAGCAGAGTCCTCATCAGCCCCGTTCTAGCTGCTCCTGCTTCCCCAGAGGTACCTGTTGCTCCAGGAAGCACTGACCAGCTGACCCCCTGCCATCCTAAACCCAATGGCCACTGGGACCAGAAAAGAGGCGTCACAAGTGTGGGGCCAGGGTCGAGACACTGGCACCCCATACGAGCGCCAGTTCCAGTCCCTGGCTGCTCTGCTCCGATCCAGCTCCCTGTTTAAATGTCTGGGAAGCTCCTTTCCCTGTTTGGAGAGCTTGATGCAGTGGCTGGGATTTCTCTGTCTCTCTCCCCTCTCTCTCTGCCGCTCCGCCTTTCAAATAAATAAAAAAGGACGTCCTGGGGCCAGCGCTATGGTGTAGCGGGTAAAGCTGCCACCTGCAGTGCCGGCATCCCCTGGCTGCCCCACTTCTGATCCAGCTCTCTGCTATGGCCTGGGAAAGCAGTGGAAGATGGCCCAAGTCCTTGGGCCCCTGCACCTGCATGGGAGTCCCGGAAAAAGATCCAGGCTCCTGGTTTTGAATCGGCTCAGCTCTGGCCATTGTGGCCATTTGGGGGAGTGAACCAGTGGATGGAAGACCTGTCTCTCTCTCTCTCTCTGCCCCTCTTGAACTCTGCCTTCCAAACAAATAAATAAAATAAAATAGTGACAGTTAACAGATGAGGTCATGCAGGGCGAGGATGACCTTGAACCCCTGGGCATGTTACATGATGGAGCCACAGCCCCACCTTTGTGGCCACAGTGGAGCAGCAGGGGAGGCGGTGAGTGGGCTGGGCCTTGGCTCTGCTGCTCGCGGCTGCGTGACCCCCTGGCCTGGGCCGCAAGGGCCAGCAGGGGCACAGGTGCTGCAGCCCTTCGGCGGGCGCAGAGCTGCGGCTTCGGGAGGGGCGGGCCCTACCAGCGAGTGCTTCTCCTCGAACTGGGCGATCTTGAGTTTGCCCTGCTCCTGGTTCTCCTGGATCGCCTCCTGGATGCACTCAGTAAACGTGTCCAGCTCGATCTTCCGCTTTTCCTGCTGTTTCAGGCCGTACTCGAAAATGTTCACGCAGATGGTGACAAATTTGTCCTTGTAGGTGGGTGGGCGTTAAGGAAGCTCAGGGCAGCGTCTCTCTCCCTCGGAGCAGGCCACCGGGGAGGGCCACAAGGGTGCAAGGGCTTGCTACGCTGAACGTGTGTGTGTGCAGGACTCGAACTCAGGGTCTCGTCTGATGGAGGAAGCCATTGAGGGGCCCAGAGACCTGGCACTGGAGATTCAGAGGGTAATGGTGTGGCTGAGGTCTCGCCACCATCGGAGGCCTGGTGGGGGAAGGAGCTGGGGACCATGGGCAGAACCCACAGGGCAGAGCAGGATGATGTTAAGAAAGGCCCCGACCCTGCACCCCATGGGAGACCAGGAGAAGCACCTGGCTCCTGCCATTGGATCAGCGCGGTGCGCCAGCCGCAGCATGCCAGCTGCGGCGGCCATTGGAGGGTGAACCAACGGCAAAAGGAAGACCTTTCTCTCTGTCTCTCTCTCTCACTGTCCACTCTGCCTGTCAAAAAAAAAAAAAAAAAAAAGAAAGAAAAGAAAAGAAAAAGAAAAAAGAAAGGCCCCTAACAGACTGCTTGGGGACCTGGAAGGACAGGGAGGGGCTGGTGTGTGACCGAGATGGGCTCTTGGGCAGAGGGCCCGTTTTGATGCTCAGCTGTGCTGGGGTAGGTGGGGGTGGAGGGGCCAGGGGTGGAAGCGGAGGATCCAGGTTCAAGTCCTGGCCCCGCCACTGCCACTGGGAAAATTGTCAAGATTTGAAAACAGAGTCATCCATGTCATACCTTGGCAAAGCAGAGCCAAGGCAGGCTGCGGGGCGGGGGGGGGGGGGGGTGGGGGGGGGCTGGCAGTGCAAGATGTGCCTGATCAAAGGGACTGTCACACACCCGCTGGGCCACTTTCACGAGAGCACCTGCCGGACAGCGGCTCCACCAGCCCCACCCCCACACAACAGGCTGCGAAGGCCTCGAGGTGTCAAGTCTCGCCCAGTGACTGCTGGTACCCATGAACCTTCTGCTGTAACAACTTAACATGGGGCCGGTGCCGTGGTGCAGAGGGCAAAGCCTCTGCCTGCAGTGCTGTTATCCCATATGGGCGCCGGTTCTAGTCCCGGCTGCTCCACTTCCGATCCAGCTCTCTGCTGTGACCTGGGAAAGCAGAAAATGACCCAAGTCCTTGGGTGCCTGCACCTGTGTGGGAGACCCTGAAGAAGCTCCTGGCTTCAGATCAGCCCAACTCCGGCTGTTGCAGCCATTTGGGGAGTGAACCAATGGATGCGAAACCTCTCTCTGTCTCTGCCTCTGCATCTCTGTAACTCTGCCTTTCTAATAAATAAATAAATTTGGAAAAAGAAGATAGCCCTCCTCCGCCTAGCGGCGCCAGCACACTGGGTTCTAGTCCCGGTTGGGGCACCGGATTCTGTCCCGGTTGCCCCTCTTCCAGGCCAGCTCTCTGCTGTGGCCAGGGAGTGCAGTGGAGGATGGCCCAGGTGCTTGGGCCCTGCACCCCATGGGAGACCAGGAGAAGCACCTGGCTCCTGGCTCCTGCCATCGGATCAGCGCGGTGCACCCGCCGCAGCGCGCTGGCAGCGGCGGCCATTGGAGGGTGAACCAACGGCAAAGGAAGACCTTTCTCTCTGTCTCTCTCTCTCACTGTCCACTCTGCCTGTCAAAAAAAAAAAAAAAGAAGATAGCCCAAGTGCTTGGGCCTCTGCCACTGACATGGAAAACCCAGATGGAGGTCCAGGCGTCTGACTTCAGCCTGGCCCAGGATGGGGAAACAGTCCCAGCAGGGGCTGGGGGCTCCGTGAGCAGGCTCTGCCAGACAAGAGGCGGCGAGAGCCGGGGCGGATATGTCTCCAGCAGCTCCCCGACGCCGGGCAGGTAGGACAGCTTGTTGCCTTCCACATCTTCAGCGTACATGCTGTCAAACAGGAAGGAGTCGTTCAGGCGGTCCACGAAGGCAGCCTGCGGGCAGAAACAGGGCCCCGCGGTGACCCAGGCGGGCTCCAGGGAGGACGCGCTGGGCACGGGCCCCCCGGCTGGGCACTAACACAGACATTACCCCTTGGGCTTCAACCCTCTCCGATGTAGAGGGGCGGCGGGAGGAGGTGGTGGAGGGGTGCCTCCCAGGCAGAAGGAACAGCAGGTGCGAGGCTGCTTCGGTCTGGCTGCACGGAGGGGTGGGGCTCATGGCGGGAGGCCATGTTCAGCCTGTTTCTGGCATGCCATGCCGTGGTGGAGGGTGTGTGGGGAGGGGACGTCTGCCCGAGGGTCTTAAGGCGCAAGACTGTAGCACCCTCTCGCGGCCCAGAGTGTTGGACGCAGGGGTACGCCAGCAAGCGCGGGACAGGACCGATCGGGAGTCTGCGCTGTGGTTGGAGCCAGCCCCAGGGAGGTGGGCGAGGCGGGGAGGGCTTCGTAGCCTGTGCGTGAGGCATGATTTCTCCCAGGGCGCCCAGGGATCCCGGCGGGCCTGCGTTGAACGTGTCCGTCCGCGAGAGACCTTGTGCGCCTCCAGCTCCGCGCGCTGGGCCTGCTCGGCCTCCAGCCGGGCCTGCGCCAGGTGCTCCCGGTGTTTCAGCTCGTCCGTGCTGTACTGGTGCTTTGCCTCTGCGAGCTCTTTCTGGTCGGAGAACAGCAGGTGGCACCGTTAGCCGTTAGCGGAGCTCGCCTGGATGTCCCCACCACCACCACTTCCCTCCCTGCCGTGGGCTGGGGGAGGGGCCCGGGCCGGACAGACCCCTTCACAAGGCAAGGTTGGCTGAGGGGTCCCAGGGAAATTAGGGAGCTGAGAAGGCCCCTTCAAGAGCCTGGGTTTCGTTTCCGATTTGTCCGGATGATTCTAGGCGAGGGTCTGAGTCTGGAGGGGGCCTTGGTTTGCTTCTGGGACTCTGAGCGCCCTCCCCTGCCCCTCATCCCCCAACCCCCGACCCCTGCTGTGCTGGGGGGGGGGCTGGGGCACTGCTCAGTGAGAGCCTTTCTTTTCTAAATTCTTTTATTGTTAGATTTTAAAATAAAAAACATTGAAAGGCAGTGAGAGAGCGAGAGAGACATCTTCCATCTGCTGGTTCACTCCCCATATGCCTGTTAACAGCCAGCGCTGGGCCAGACTGAAACCAGGAGCCCAGAACTCCATCCGGGTCTCCCACGTGGGTGGCAGGGACCCAAGTATTTGGGCCGTCTTCCGCTGCTTTCGGGAGTAGCCGGGGCTCCCGATATGGGATGCGGGCGTCCCAAACAACTTATAGCTAACACCTTCCTCTGTCCTATTTTTATGATGTCTTTATTACTATAAAGAGAGCAGATTTTATGCTCTCTATAGGTGCAGGTCCAAGGTGCCCCATGGTTTCATAACAAGAAGAGCACACTCAAACAGGTATGTGGCCAACCCAGGCATCCTAGAGCACTGTTGCCTTTAAAACTGGCTCCGGGGCCCGTGCTGTGGCTCAGCGGGCACAGCGGGTCAAGCACTGGCCTGCGATGCCAGCATCCCGCGTGAGCCCCAGCTGCTCCACTCCCTACTGATGCACCTGGGGAACCGGAACATGACCCAAGTGCTTGGGCCCCTGCCACCCACGTGGGAGACCCGGATGGAGTTTCCGGCTCCTGGCTTTGGCCTGTTTGCAAGCCATTTAGGGAGTGAACCAGCAGATGAGAAATCTCTTCTGTCTTTCTGTAACTCTGCCTTCCAAAGAAACAAATCAACCAATAAATCTTTAAAATAAAAAAAAAGGGGTGAGGCACTGCTGTGGCATCACAGATAAAGCTGCCGCCTGCAGTGTCCGCATCCCATATGGGCGCCAGTTCGAGACCCGGCTGCTCCACTTCTGATCCAGCTCTCTGCTGTGGCCTGGGAAAGCAGTGGAAGATGGCCCAAGTGCTTGGGCCCCTGCACCCACGTGGGAGACCTGGCAGAAGCTCTGGCTCCTGGCTTCGGATCAGGCCAATTGGGGAGTGAACCAGCGGATGGAAGGCCTCTCTCTCTCTGGCTCTCCTCTCTCTGTGTAGCTCTGACTTTCAAATAAACACATAAATCTTTTTAATAAAATAAATAAAATAGATACAGCTGTAGTCTCAGCTTCCGGTCCCATGCAGGGACAAGAGAGAGCCTGTGGCGGGAGGAGGGGACTCCCCCTGAGGTCACCTCCTCTCTAAGCCTCCACAGCGGTGCTTGGACGGCACCTTGGCCCACCCAGGAGAGAGGGGGCTCCGCTCACTGTAGGTTCTAGGGGCTCAGAGTTGAGGCTGGGGGCCCACTCTCCTGCCTGCCTCTCCAGGTGTCCCCCCCCCAGGGGGGGTCATTTTAGTGCTCCTCAACACAGCTCCTGTCTGCAGGACAGGTACCAGCAGGCAGGTCAGCTGGCCCAACTCAAGGTGTCACCCCAGTCCCAATGGGTCAGTACCCCCCACCCCCTGCCACCCCTTCCCACAATAGATGGCATGGCCCAGAGTGAGAAGCAAGGGCTTCACAGCAGGGGATGGGGGGCGGGGAGGGAGGCAGGCAGGGGGCAGCAGGAAGACCCTCCCACAGGCAGGCGTGAGCTTTGCAGGTCACTCACAGGGACTGACTCCCAGCTCCAGCCCCGCCCACTGGAGTCCCCGCCCTTGAGCGCCAGTTGGCCACTGGGACGACAGCAGGGTCCCGGCTGGCTGGTGGTGAGACTGCGCCATGGGCTTGATTGATGAACGCCCAACAACAGCTAGCTCTTAATATTGCTCCCGGGGTCACAGAGACCAGGGTGCAGGGGGTAGGGGGGAGCCCTCTCCACTGTTTCCTTTAGGAAACCACACAGTGGCTGCGAGGTGGCCTTGGGACAATGCGCAGAGATGGGGGAGCCCTGGTTGCTGGGAGCCTGGGCGAGAGGGCACCCACGCAGGTGCTGCGGGACCCCACGGGGGTGGGGGAGGGGGAAGACACGTGCCATGTGGTCACCGATGCGCCGGAAGTCCAGGTACACGAGGTCGGGCAGGTAGGCATAGATGAACATCTTGTAGTCCTCTGCTTGGGCGATGGGGTTCCCGGCGAGGCTGAGCGTGCGCAGGCACTTGAACCGCCGCAGGTAGACGAGCTGGGGAGGAGAGGACGCTCCGTCCTGGCTGCCTGGAAACACACCCCCGCCTTCTCCCTGCACCCGGGAGGGCCCTGGCACCTTCAGGCCTCAGGCAGGGCAGGGGGCGGGGCACAGGTGCAGAGTGGGTGTGGGGGGGGGGGTCCAGGCCTGCAGGTAGGGGTCTAGGTAGTGCCCTGAGATATTGGATCAGGCACGGACAGACGGGAGCTCCAATCCCAGCTATGGGGCCTTGGGCAAGTTTCCCTAAGCCTCAGTGCGTGTAGAATGAAGAATGAGCGGAGGGATGTTACATGTGTTACAGCCGTTGTAAAGCAAGGCCCAGGTCAAAGGAGCCTAACATCCAGACACAGAGGCCAAGTTAGGGCTGGTCGTCTGTGGGCCCTCGGGGCAGGGCTTCGTGGATGCCCCACCCCCACCCCATCTCATCCATCGAATGGATCAAGAACTGCGGCCAGCCAGCGGGAGACAGCCATGCGCAGCTGCGCTAGAACCGCAGCGCACAGCGCCTCCCAGCGCCCAGTGTCGGAACTGCGCCCAAGGCCGTCAGTCATAATTAATAGCAGACAACCAAGCAGGCAGCAAGCCTCAGGTGTGTGCCCAGGGAGACCAAAGCCCACGTGGACCCCAGAGCTTACACGGTGGGTGGTGCTGGGAGTGTTTTAAAATTTAAGTAGCATAATCACAGACTAGGCAAAGTGCTACAAGGAACATAAAGACAGCACCGACCGTGAGAGGTGGCATTTATGGGAGACGGGAGGGAGCCAGTGGTGGTAGTGCAAGGAGAGCACTTTCTCAGGAGCCAAAACAGCACGGGCAAAGGCCCTGGGGCAGCGACAAGTTCAGGGTACACCAGGAACGGAGAAAGGCTGGGGCAGTTGCAGTATGATGGAGGAAAGACTTGATACAAGTGTGGAGACAAGGTCAGGGGCTGGTTCATGTAAGACCAGGCTGGCTAGGGCCAGTGCTGTGGTACAGTAGGCTAAGACTCCACCTGTGGCGCTAGCATCCCATATGGGCACCGATTCAAGTCCCAGCTGTTCCACTTCGGATCCAGCTCCCTCTGTGGCCTGGGAAAGCAGTAGAAGATGGCTCAAGTGCTTGGGCCCCTGCTACCCACGTGGGAGACCTGGAAGAAGCTCCTGGCTCCTGGCTTCAGATCGACCCAGCTCTGGCCATTGCAGCCATTTGGGGAGTGAACCAGCGGATGGAAGACCTTTCTCTCTGTCTCTCCCTCTGTCTGTCTGAAACTCTGCCTCTCAAATAAATAAATAAATCTTAAAAAAAAAAAAAAACCACGCAGGCTGTGGTCGAGGGTTTGGATTTTGCTCTAAGGATGATGGAAGCCAGTGGAGTTCGAAGCGTGTATGAGAAAAGACGGGGCCTGATTTCATTTTCTAGAGATCTCCCGGTGAGATTCCATTTCTCAGCTTGTTGGCAGGCAAAGAGAAAAGCCTCAGAAGCAAGCGTGCTACAGAAAGTTGACAGGCAGCAGGCCCACCGGGGGGTTTGTAAATGGTTCCACTTCCCCGGAGGCCGAGCTGGCAGAGAGCCGTCCAAATTGAAGATGCACCTGCCTTCTGGTCCAGCAACCCTCGCCGGGAGTGTATCTTACATGTGGGCTGACCCAGGCGCACGTGACCCCTGCTCGAGGTCATCCTGGGGTTCAAGGACATCTGAGGTGGTCTGTGTGATGCCACCAGCTTGGAGCAACTTCAGCGTCCACCTCCGAGGGACGGGGGAAGTACATCGCGTGGCATCGGAATATGGCGCAGGCAGTGGAGTGGGCTGCTAACGGGGGTGGAGACAGGACATGAGGGCGGGGCTTGGAGGGCAGCTGGACAGAGCCAGGATGCCTGGGCAGGCACACGTGCTTGGCCGCAGCTGTGGTCTCGGCCAGGGACGCAGGTACAGAGGGTGAGGGGGTAACAGAGACTCTTTCCCGGGGGCCTTGAATTTTGCTTCAAAGTCCGCGTGTTTTGAAATGGGCGCTGTGGCTCATGGGTTGAGATGCTGTCTGGGGACCCCACACTGGAGTACTGTCTGAGTCCCGGCTGCTTTGCTTCTGATCCGGTTCCATGCCCCTGCGCCTGGGAAGCACCCGCTTGGATCCCTGTCACTCAAGTGGGGGATCTGAGTGGAGCTCCCGGCTCCTGGCTTCGATGTGGCCCTCCCCTCGGCTGTTGTGGCCATTTGGGGAGTGAACTGGCAGAGGAGAGCTCGCTCTCTCTCCCCTCCCCTCTCTTTCTCTGCCTTTCAAAGGCGCACGCACACACGTGCACACACACACAGATCTTGCATTCACTGTTTTCACTCCCCACATGGCAGCAACAGCCAGGGGCTGGGCCAGGCCGAAGCCGGGAACCAGGAGCTCCATCTGGGTCTCCCACATACGCGGCACGGAAGCCGTCACCTGCCCACCCTCCCAGGCTGCACAGCATAAGACGCTGGAACTGACAGCAGAGCCAGGACCCAAAGCCAGGCACTCGGATACAGCTAGGTGGAGACAACCGGGGGTCTCCAGGACCCCGGGTGCAGCCTGGCCACAGGAACTTCTGGCCTCGGCCGCTTCTCCCTAGGGGCCTTCTCTCTCCCCGACTCTGGGAACCAGCAACCCTGCCTCTCACACATGTCAGGTACTGAACACTCTGGGGTCCACTCGGTCCTCGCTACAGCTCTACGGTCTGAGCCCATTTCACAGATGGGCAAGTGGACGCTGGCCCCAGCTCAGACAGCTGGGAGGTGGCTAAAATCTCAGCCCTTGATCCAAGGCCATGTCCTTGGTCCACGGTGGATCTCCCCCACCCCCACCCCCACCCCAGCAGAGCAGGGAGGGGGCAGGCTGTACAGCCAGTTCTGGACCCCCGAGAAGCACGCTGGCTTCCATGGGGCATACAGGGCAGACTACTGAGACTACACTGCCTCCAGGATTTGCCCCGTCGGATGGATGGATTTACGTATAGGGACCATCTGGGTGACTGACCTCCTCCCCCGCCGCCCCGGGCCATCCATCTCAGTCAGCCTCACGTAGAGCTGGGATTCCAGCCCAGGCCATCCATCTGACCCAAGCAGTAATGGAATTCGGGGCAGCTCCCAGAGGCCCTGGCCAGGAACCACAGGGGAAGGTCTCTGTTGGGTCACCTCTGATGTGGGCCCCTTCCCGAGGCTGCCAGACCCCCAGCTATTGGGGGGGGGGCGGTCTCAGCCCCAGCCTGCTGAGCTGGGAGCCCCCTGTGGGGAGTGCAGGGGCAGCCAACCAGCCTTCCCTGGAGATGACCACTGTCAGTGTCGCACAGATGCCCCCGGCGTCCGCGGACACGGGACACCAGGGGTTCTTTTAACCTGTGGGCTGGTCAGCCCCGAGGGGAACCCGCCTTGTCCGGCTCTGTCCCCACTGAGAACAGAGCAAGTGCACCCAGCAGGCAAACGTTGGCTAAATGAGCCAGAGACCGAGGGGGCAGAACGAGACGTTGCCGTGGCAAAGGCTGTGAACGGGCAGCCACAGACAGATTTTGTGAAGCGTGCTGTCCCAACACGATCGGGTCCCTGGTGGACTAAGCCGGCTTGTCAAGCGACACGGAGGTGGGTTAGGGGTAGGGGGGAGAAGACTTGCGATGCTCCAGGCGCACCTGCCCACGCGGCAGACCCCGCCCTGTCCGAGCCCCGCGCATGCGCACGGGTGTGTGCGTGTCGGCCACTCACATTCATTATGTTGTCGATCTGGTTGTTGCCCAGCGACAGCACCTGCAGCTTGCCCAGCGCGTCCAGGGAGTCGATCCTGGAGATCCGGTTGTTGAACAAGCTCAGGTCCTCCAGGTTCACCAGGCTGTCCAGGCCCTCGATGACCTCGATGTTGTTGAAGGACAGATCTGGGGGAAGGGAAGGGGCGGATCTGTGAAGAGGCTTTGCTGTCCGGTGCCTGGGCTGGGCGGTGGGCGCTCCGCGAGCGAGGCCATCAAGGGGACTTGGTGCTCCGCGGGCCGGCAGCTAGCGGCACGCCCTCCACACCCCCGGGGCAAAGCCTGCGATTATTTCTGGAAGCCTCACACGCTCACCACATCACCCCCGTGGGCGGCGCTCGCTGCGTCGGAGCTCGGAGGAGACCGGCAGCTCTGAGGCAGCAGACCATGGGCTCAGGGACGCTCCCCTAGCCTCAGGCCTCCCACCCGCGTAGCAATTCCGGGTTTATCCAGTGCTCTGTGTGTGTGCATCTCATCTACCCCGCTTAGGTATTGTGAAGTAATCCAGAGATACTTTAAAGTACTCGGAAGGATGGGTGTAAGTTACACACAAATATAAGGGTACTTTAAGAAGTTCACGGATGGGGCCGGCGCTGTGGTGTAGTGGGTAAAGCTGCCGCCTGCAGTGCCGGCATCCCATAGGGGCGCTGGTTTGAGTCCCGGCTGCTCCACTTCCGATCCAGCCCTCTGCTGTGGTTTGGAGAAGCAGTGGAAGATGGCGCAAGTCCTTAGACCCCTGCACCCGTGTGGGAGACCCGGAGGAAGCTCCTGGCTCCTGACTATGGATTGTGCAGCTCCAGCTGATGTGGCCATCTGGGGAGTGAACCAGGGGATGGAAGACGTGTGTGTGTGTGTGTGTGTGTGTGTGTGTAACTCTTTTGTATAAAATAAATAAATCTTTAAAAAATTATTTACACCAAATAAAGTTGTTTTTTTTTTAAAAAAAAAAAACACCCCAGATTTATCTTATTTGTTTGAAAGGCACAATGATGGTGGGAGGAGGGTGAGAGAGACAAAGAGAGGTCTTCCATCTGCTGGTTCACTCCCCAAATGGCTGCAACAGCTGTGGCTGGACCAGGCCGAAACCAGAAGCCTGGAACTCCATCTGGGTCTCCTACACGGGTGGCAGGGGCCCAAGCACTTGGGCCTCTTCTGCTGCTTTCCCAGGTGCATTTGCAGCAGCTGGATCAGAGCAGCCAGGACTGGAACCAGCACTCCAATACGGGATGCTGGTGACAAAGGCCGCAGCTTAACCCACTGTGCCAGGACACCAGCCCCAAAATAAAGGTATCTTTTTAAACACCAATTTATTTATCTGAGAGGCAAAAGAGAGACTACCATTTGCTGTCTCCTCCCTAAATGCCCACAATGATCAGGACTGGGATGGGCCAAAGCTGGGCCAGGCTGAAGCCTGGAGTCGGCAACTTAGTCCAGGTCTTCTAGGTGGCTGGCAGAGGTCCAACTACCTGAGCCGTCACCACTGCCCCCAGAGGCCGCAGTGGGAGGGCACTGGGGTGGGGGGTGGAGCCTGGCAACAATGCAGGTGTCTCACTGCTAGGCTACATCCTGACTCCGAAACTTTTAATTTCACTTTTCCACTAACTTTTTGAAGTGTCCTCCTGTTATGCCATTCCCCCCCTCAGATTTATTTATTCTTATTTATTTACTTGAGAGGCAGAATTACAGAGAGAGGGAGAGACAGAGAGAGAGAGGTCTTCCATCTGCTGGCTCACTCTCCAAATGGCCGCAATGGCCAGAGCTGTGCCAATCCGAAGCCAGGAGCCAGGAGCTTCCTCCAGGTCTCCCACATGGGTGCAGGGGCCCAAGCACCTGGGCCATCTTCTACTGTTCTCCCAGGCCATTAGCAGGGAGCAGGATCAGAAGTGGAGCAGCCAGGACTTGAACTGGCGAACCTATAGGATGCTGGCACTGCAGATGGTGGCTTAACCTGCTGCCCCACAGCGCTGGCCCTGTGTTATGCCACTCTACACAGGGGACTTGAGCATCCAGGGATGTGACCTCAGGGGGTCCTGGAACCCATCTGGCACGAGCTTTCGGGCTTGGCTGGTGGCTGGGGTTGTCACCCTGTGCAGGAGGCCAGTGGGCCAGCGGCCGGCACTGGGGATTTGTCCTGAGCTTGGCAGTACGGACAATCCTGGCAGACAAGCGGTCACTTTGCAAGGGTGAGTTGGGAGTCAGCTTAACCCCGGCGTCATTGGTCTCGTCTGCATGTCCGCGACGCCCATCTGTGCACGGGTGACACTGCCAACATCTCCTTGTCCCCTGCTCTGTGCCAGGCCCTGGACTGGCACCGCCTTATTTAATCCTCATAGCACAGGTGTCGTCATCCCACCGCAAATGAGGGAACTGGGACTCAACGGCGCCCCCTGGCGACCTGCTGCAGATAGCACAGCACAGAAACTGAGGCGATGTCTGCAGTCAGTTCCGAGTCGGCAGTGGCAGGCAGCTGGCCCGATGGTTAAGAGGCAGGTTCGGGGCCAGCGCTGTGGAGCAGCGGGTAAAGCCACCGCCTGCAGCGCCGGCATCCCATAGGGCGCCGGTTCGAGTCCTGGCTGCTCCACTTCCAATAGAGCTCTCTGCTACAGTAGATGTTCCAAGACCTTGTTGGGGAACCCAGAAGAAGCTCCTGGCTTTGGATTGGTTTGGGGAATGAATCAATGCATGGAAGATTCTCTCTGCCTAAATAAATCTAAGAGAGAGAGAGAGAGAGAGAGAGAGAGAGAGAGAGAGAGATGCAGGTTAAGATGTCCACATCACGTGTTTGATGCCTGCCTCTGGCTGCATCCACTGGTTCACTCCCCAAATGGCTGCAACAGCTCGGGCTGCATGGTAGAGGCCCAAGCACTTGGGCCATCTTCTGCTGCCTTTCCAAGGCACATTAGCAGGGAGCTGGATGGGAAGTGGAGCAGAACTGGTTCTCACGTGGGATGCCGGTGTCCCAGGCAGCGGCTTCACTACACTCTTGAGGGGCCTGGCCCAGCCCCTAAGAACGCGTGGTGAGTGTTTAACAGCAGCGGGTGGGGGAAGGCCTGCTTTGTGGTTCTTTCTCAGTTCCGGAGGATGGGTGGGTGTCCATACTCCCACTGTGGCCAATTCCAAGCTACCCACAGAGCATCCCAGGACGCAGGACACTAGGCACACCTGGCACCCTTGGCCCTGTGTCCCGTGTGGGTGTGGGGGCTGGGCTGCTGGCTAATGTGCCAATTAAGATGCCCGCGTCCCACAGTGGAGATCCTGGGTTTCACACCCAGCTCTGGTCCTGACTCAGCTTCCTGCTAAATGCAGACCTGGGAGGTCCCTGCCGTGGGTTCCTGCCACCCACGTGCCTCCTGGCTTTGGCCCAGCCCGGCCCCTGACGCTGTGCTGGGGGGTTTAGAACTAGTAGATGGAAGCTCTCAATAAAACTTTAAAAGGAAAAAAAAAAAAAAAAAAAACAACAACCCGTGGCATTCAGATGGCCCGTGCAGGGTGGCCTTGGGTGGGGGCGGTGGCTCAGGGCTGGCTAGAGAGAGAGAGGCCTCCTGATGGTGTGGACAGGTCACCGTGCCCAGGAATCAACAGTAAGGAATGCTGGGTAAGGTGTGTGTGTGTGTGTGTGTGCTGGGGGCGGGAAGAACACGGGCTTTGGGGTCAGACTGGTGTGGGTCCAAGTCCCAGCACTGCTACTGCTTGGTCCTTGGCTCTGGGCACGCGCCTTGGCCTCTCTGAGCCTTGGCTCCTCTTGCGTAGACTGTACCAGGCACCTGTATCCTAGGGTTGCTGTGGGAACGCAGCAGGCCCATCCTTTTCTCCCTGCTGGGTGCCTACCTGCCCCTCACCAGATGCCCCTGGGAGGCCAGTGCATGGCCCCTGTTCATCCAAACGGCCTCATCCTCCCCACCCCGGCCTGGGCAGGGAGGGCCAGAGCCCATGTCGCTCTTAGGCACTGTGACCTCTGTTTGCTTATCTGCACAGTGGGGGTGCTGGGTGCTTGTGTGGGGTCACGGAGCTCACGGAGCCCACGCACAGGCCCACCGGCTTCCGCGATGACTATTGCTGCTTTGCTCCCGGGGCCCTGCCATTCAGTGGCTACCTGTCAATCCGAGTGGAAATTGAAGGGGAGGAGTCTGTAGCAGCCCCCTGAGCGCCCCGCCCAGCCTGGGAGGCCGGCGGGCGGGAGCAGAATGGCCCGTCTGTGCTGTGCTCTGTCCAGTGTGGATCCCGGGTCTTTTGAAAGACAGCAGCTGTGCCCAGGCTAAGGACCGTGCCCAGGTAGCTGAGGGTCAAGCGTGAGAGTGCCGTCTCCCTGGGTGGGGGGCAGAGGCGGGGAGGAGGGGCGGGGCGCGGCGCAACCTTGGCAGGTGGGCGGGAGCAGACGCATGCGCAGAAGGGGCCTCACCCAGCCAGACCAGGTGGACGAGGTTTTCCAGGCCCTCGATCCTCTCGATGATGTTGTTGTCCAGCTGCAGCTTGCGCAGGTTCTCGAACTGCCAGAGGTTGTCAATGTGCAGGATGTCTGCAAAGACCAGAGGAGAGAGGCGCGTGGGCTTCTGGGCAGGCGCACGGCGGCACCGAGACGCCTCACCTTCTCTCGCCCTGCCCTGGAGGAAGAAGCTAGGTGCCCTGGCGGCGAAGGCTGAGCACCCAGGACGGGGGAGGGGCGGTCAGCCACAGGCTCCTTAATTAAGGCCGGCCTGGACCACACCCCGTCTTGCCCACCAGGGAATCCCGCTCCCTCCTTGTTGCTGGCCGGGCGCCTGGGCAGCCTGGAGGGCTCAAGACGGAGCAGGGATGAGGATCAGAGCAGGTGCACAAAGCACGGGGGGTTCAGGATCCCCGCAAAGCTCTCCCCGCTTCCTCTCGAAATGCCCTCGCTCTGCCCGGCTGGGCTGTCTCCCATCGGGAGCTGCAGGCGCCCATTCCACCGCTGGGGACGCGAGGCGGGAGGGATCCACCTGGTCCCCAGCCCCATCGTCCACGGGCTGCCTCTCGGCCTCAGCCGCCCTGCGCCCTCCTGCTTCCCTGCCCTTTCTTCAGCCACCCTGCCCCCGCCCCCCACCAAGGCTACTGGGCCCCTGCTTCCTATCTCCAGCTGCCGGCTGCGTAGGACCCCAAGCTTCTACCTGCTGGGAGCTCCCTGCTGCAGACACCAGTGTGGGGTCCCCTCGGGGCTTAGACTGGCAGCAGGACGGGTTTCTAATCTGTTCTGTTCTCAATCAGGTCAGGGGTGCTGTGGACAGTCACACGACGACGGCACTAAGTATGGCGTCCTCAGCGCATCCGTGCCGGGACCCGCAGTGGGTTCCTGGAGGGGGGGAGGGGCGAGGGGGCTGCTCCCGTCCCCGGGGCGGGGGGACCAGGGGACATGGACACGCACTCTGGAAGTCCAGCCGCAGGGTCAGGACATCTTTGAAGAGGATGCCCTCCTGCTTGGCCAGCTGCCCGGCCTCCTCGCGAGGCCCCTGCTCGCTCACGGCCAGCTTCAGCATCTCGTCGTCCATCACGCGCGGCTCTATGGAGTTGTGCAGCCGGCTCATGTTCCCTGCAAGACAGCACCACGCCCTCCTGAGGCCCCGCCCTCCTGAGGCCCCGCACCCCTCCTCCGTCGGGGGACAGGCACTGCTGAGGTCTCCCTTGCTTTTATTTTTTTTTATTTTATTTTTTTTTTTTTATTTTTGACAGGCAGAGTGGACAGTGAGAGAGAGAGACAGAGAGAGAAAGGTCTTCCTTTGCCGTTGGTTCACCCTCCAATGGCCGCCGCTGCAGCCGGCGCACCGTGCTGATCCGATGGCAGGAGCCAGGATCCAGGTGCTTTTCCTGGTCTCCCATGGGGTGCAGGGCCCAAGCACCTGGGCCATCCTCCACTGCACTCCCTGGCCATAGCAGAGAGCTGGCCTGGAAGAGGGGCAACCGGGACAGAATCCGGCGCCCCAACCGGGACTAGAACCCGGTGTGCCGGCGCCGCAAGGTGGAGGATTAGCCTATTGAGCCACGGCGCCGGCCCTGCTTTTATTTTTTTAAATATTTATTTGAGAGGCACAATTAAAGACCGAGAGAGAGAGAGAGAGAGAGAGAGAGAGAGAGAGAGGTCTTCCATCCACTGGTTCAATCCCTACATGGCTGCAATGGTCAGACCTGGGCCAATCCAGAGCCAGGAGCTTCTTTCGGGTCTCCCATCGGCATGCAGGGATCCAAGCACTTGGGCCATCTTCTACTGCTTTCCCAGGCCACAGCAGAGAGCTGGATTGGAAGAGGAGCAGCCGGGTCTCGAACCAGCGCCCCTAAGGGATGCGGGCACTGCAGGCGGCCATGTTACCCGCTACACCACAGCGCCGGCCCTCCCTGAGGTCTTCTCTTAAGGTTTCTCTCTGTTTCCTGGTGTTTTTTTTTTTTTTTTAACCCAAGATTTCTTTCTTTGAAAAGGACAGAGAGAGAAGGAGGGGAGGGGGGAGGAGAGAGGGAGGGAGAGAGAGATCCTCCATCTGCTAGTTCACTTCCCAAATGGCCACAACAGCCAGCGCTGGGCCAGGGCAAAGCCAGGAGTCTGGACTCCATCCAGGTCTCCCAAGCACTAGGGCCATCATCTGTTGTTTCTCAGGCGCATTAGCAGGGAGCTGGATGGGAAGTGGAGCAGCCAGGACTCGAACCAGCGCTCCAATGTGAGGTGTGGGCATTACAAGCGGCGGCTTAACCCACAACGCCAGGTCCTGTGACGGCGTCTTAACTCGGAGGGCTGCCCCTCAGGGTCCGTACATGTGTCCCCAGGGAGCTCTGGGTGCTCCTGGCAAGCACCCGGGCCACCTGCCGGGGTCCATCTCTCGGCCCCACAGCTACAGCTGGTCCCACTGGGCTGTGGCCTGGTGCCAGGCCTCCCCGTCCAGGTCTCTTGGTGCCAACCATTGGCAGCCCCGATCAAGTTGCCGGCTGGCAGTTGCCTTGTCCCCTGCAGGTCCAGTGCTCAGTGAGGCACTGACCCAAGCTGCCCACTCGTGTCCCTGCCTCCTGAGACTCGGGACCAGGGATGAGGGTGCTCAGCAGAGGTGGGGACCCCACAGCTGGCCTGGCCGGGCACAGGGCGAAGCCAAGAACAGGAGGAACAGACACAGAGGCAGAAAGAGGAAGATGGGGGCTGGGGGGTACACACAGGACAGACAGACTGACACAGACACTGTCTTCCTCCTGCTGGCTTTTCAGTCCTAATGCGCCCGAGTCCAGGCCTTGCGAGTTCTGTGTCTCCTTCTGTGGGCATTTCCCATCCCTTTCTCTTAAGGTCTCTGTGATCTTTTAAATTTCTTTTTGGGGGCCGGCGCTGTGGCATAGCGGGCAAAGCCGCCCCCTGCAGTGGCTGGCATCCTATATGGGCACTGGTTCGAGTCCCGGCTGCTCCACTTCCGATCCAGCTCTCTGCTATGACCTGGGAAAGCAGTGGAAGATGGCCCAAGTGCCTGGGCTCCTGCACCTGCGTGGGAGACCCGGAAGAAGCTCCTGGCTCCTGGCTTCGGATCAGCACAGCCCTGGCCATTGTGGCCATCTGGGGAGTGAGCCAGTGGATGGAAGACCTCTCTCTCTCTCTAACTCTGCCTTTCAAATAAATAAATAAATCTTAAAAAAAATTGTTTTCGACAAGCAGAAACAGAGACGGGGGGCAGGGCGGGGGGGGGGGGGACGCGAGTGCAAGCAGGTGCTCCCAATGGAGGGGGTGGGCAGGGTGAGAGGGTGAAGCTAAGAGCCCTAAACTCCATCCAGGTCTCCCGCACCGGCAGCAGGGACTCAACCACTCGCGCCCTCACTCCTGCCTCTGGGGTGTGGGCCAGCAGGAAGCTGGAGTCGGGAAGCAGAGCTGGAAATCAAATACAGGCCCTGTGAGGTGGGACAGGGGGCGTCCTCACCGGTTCTTCCTCCTCGCCCCCCGCCTGGATGCACCTGACACAGGTATGCACCTTGCACTCCCAACCTGGCCCTGGCCACACGTGCCACTGCTATCCCACCTTCTGCCCACGGAAGCAGCACGGCCCCCCACCCCACCCCACCCCCGTGACGGTGAGGGCTGGGCTGAGCTGTGCTGAGGCCAAAGCCAGAAGAGCTAAAAACTCCATCTGGATCTCCCACGTGGGTGGCAGGAACCCAAGTGCTCGAGCCCTCCCCTGTTGCCTCCAGGGTCTGCATTGATGCGGGGCTGGAGTCAGGAGCCAGGGGTGGCTACTTACCCTAGGCCCTGGTTAAGCCACCCATGCCCAGACTTTAATAATTCTTTTTTTTTTTTTAAGATTTATTTATTTATTTCAGAGGCAGAGTTGCAGAGAGAGAGACAGAGAGAGAGAGAGAGAGGGAGGGAGGTGTCTTCCATCTGCTGGTTCATTCCCTAAATGGTTGCAATGGCTGGAGCTGCGCTGATCTGAAGCCAGGAGCCAGGAGCTTCTTACGGGTCTCCCATGTGGGTTCAGGGGCCCAAGCACTTGGCCCCTGCTTCCCCAGGCCATTAGCAGGGAGCTGGATCGGAAGTGGAGCAGCTGGGTCTCGAACCAGCACCCATGTGGGATGCCAGCACTGTAGGCCAGGGCGTTAACCTGCTGCACCACAGCGCCGGCCCCTGGACTTTAATAATTCTAAGAAGCACATTCCAGCTACAGTACTGAGAACCCCAAGAGGAGTGAGGTTGGTGACAACCGAGGTGGGGGTCACACTTGAGAGCTCCCTGGGGACTCGATTTACACATAGGACGAACCCCAGTTTCCAGGTAAGAAATGGACCCATCTTTCTAAGCATGGCTCAGCTGTACCCAGGGTTCCAGACACTCTCACTGCCACCGTGCACAAGGTTTCTCACAGCTGTCCCAGGTCAGGGATGAGGCCCGAACAGCCCTGTGCTGTGGGGATACAGTCAGTAATTCACCACCCAGGCCAGGTCCCTGCCGACTTGCCTGTCAGTGGCGTCAGTGAGCCCAGAGTTAGGCGGCAGAGACAGCAGCTTCAAGTCCGACGCCGCTGCGACCTGAAGAGCCTCTTCGCCGGGAAGCAGGTGCAGCAGTTTCCTGGGAAACAGGAACCGTGGGCCAATCGGCTCTGCGACGCACAGTTCCCAGTGCCCATGAATTACTAAGGAGGGGAGCAGCCACTAACAGGGTTTGCGTGGACTCTGCGCACACGCACTATTGAATTACACACCAGCTCTGCAGGCCGGGACATGGCACAGGGTTCAGATACGCGGTGGAGGGGAAGAAGATACTTGGCCAAGGTCACACAGCGGAGTTACTAACAGGGACGACCCTGCATTCCCAGCCAAAGCCAAGGGAGAATGATCACACAGACGTGCAGAGGTTGACGATGACAGCCGGAACCTGGAGGAATGATCAGCAGACAGGAGAGCAAGCACACTGTGTATGGAAAGGTTTAAGGGGCTGGCGCTGTGGCGCAGCGGGTTAATGCCCTGGCCTGATGTGCCAGCATTTCATATGGACGCCGGTTCTAGTCCCAGCTGCTCCTCTTCTAATCCAGCTCTCTGCTACGGCCTGGGACAGCAGTGGAAGCTGGCCCAAGTCCCTGCACCAGCGTGGGAGACCTGGAAGAAGCTCCTGGCTCCTGGCTTCAGATTGGTGCAGCTCTGGCTGTTGTGGTCATTTGGGGAGTGGGCCAGTGAAGGGGAGACCTCTCTCTGGCTCTACCTCTAACTCTTTCAAAGAAATAAAATAAATCTTAAAAAAAAAAATCTTTTCTGGCCCTGCGCCCTTACCCTCTCCTTCCTCACCCACAGAAAGCCCAAGACTAAGTGTTGTGGCTGGCTGAAGCCAGCGTCAGGTGGCTGTCCCAGGAGCCGTGAGCTCACTTCGCAGAGGTGGGCGTGGGATTCGGCAGCCCTTAGGACACCGCTGGGGCACCCACGTCTCGTGCTGGGGTGCCGGGGTTCGAGTCCCGGGAGCTCCTGGCTCCCGCTTCCTGCCAACAATGCACACCTGGGAAGGGGTGGGTGCCGGCTCAAGTGCTCACGGCCCCACCGCCCACGCGGGAGACCTGGGCTTTTGAGGTTATCTGGGGAGCACACTAGTGGACCGACCTCTCTCCCCGCTGTCCGCCCCGGGTCTCCTCTCCTCTCCTCTCCTCTCAGGCGCCGGCTTCCGGGCTGGGTCTGCGAAGCAACAGCGTCCCCCGGTTGCTAGGGAACCAAGCGCCGCCGCTCGGTCGCTAAGGGGAAGTTAAGAGGTAGACATCCTGGGTGAAAGTGGACGCATCACGTGATCAGTTCTCGGGGCGGGGAAATCCTACCACACCAACCAGGCTTAGAGAAAACAAACGTTTACCCAATCAGCACTTTCTGTGGGCGGGGATCTTCGTAGATCCACCTCCTCGCCTTGCCCCTATTTAAGTGATTGACTCGTCTTTATCCAATAATACTAAGGATTCTCTAGCTTGACCGATATATGGACGAATCAACACGCAAAGCCTCTCTTTAGGAGGCGGGCCAGGGGAGGTGCCGCTACGCCTGACGGGGACTCCAGCGACCTAGCTCGCTCTCCGGCCAATCGGACGCCGCGGGGTGGGTGGGAGCTTCACTGAGGTAGAGGCGAAGGCCAATCGGATGAGGGCTGTGTAGGCGTTGCCCAATAGAGACGCGACAAGGGGGCGTGGTCAAGGGCCCGGGGCTCGGCGTTCCTGAGGGTGGGGCGGGGGCAAGTGTCAGTCAGGTCGGGACCGCGGCTGGGGACGGCGGAGACCCGGGCGGGCAGACTGGACGCCCCGTCCGCCGCCGCGCTTTCCGTGCAAGATGGAGTTCCTCCTGGGGAATCCGTTCAGCACGCCGGTGGGGCAGTGCCTCGGTAAGGCCCCGCGAGCGGCGAGCGGCGAGCGGCGAGCGGCGAGCGCCGGGGTGGGTGACGGCGGCGGCTGTCGAGGCTGGTGCGGACCGCGCGGGCCGCTGCCGGCTGAGGGTCCCCCGCCTCCAGCCCCGCAGCATCTGTTGGCGTCGCGCCTGGGCCGGGCAGCGGGGCCAGCTCACGGGACGGGTCCGGCATCCTGGTCGCCAGGCCTCCGCTGGGCAGCGGGATGCCCTGCCAGGAGGCGCCCCTGGGGCCCAGCTCGTACTCTTGCGAGACTTCCAGCGGCCCTAGCCATCCGGGCCGGCCCTCCCTGTCCCCTCGAGGTGGTGCTACGCTGAGCACCCTCTTCCACCCTGCCGGCCTCGCGGCCCTGTTTCCCCCCACCCCGCCAGGACCCGCTCACCCGGCCGTCCCGGACGCCTGTCCCTCCCCGTCAGTACCAGCAGCCCTCAGACTGGGCGTCTCCCCAGAAAATGCCCCAGGTTGCAAGACTCGCTCGTTGGCGAGGCGACTCAGCCGAGCTGTCGAGGGGGTCGTGGTGGGGCGGGGTGTTGGAGGGTGGCGGGGCGCTGTGGGGGCGGGGTGCCATTCCGGACTGAGCGTCCCGGGAAAGATGGGAGACTGTGCAAGTGAGTGATAAGAGCCTGGAGCGGGCACAGTGGCCTTGTGCCCCCTCTGAGTTGAAGTTCCGCTGTGAGTGTTTGGAGGGAGAGAGCTGGTGAGGCGTTTGGGGCGGTCCCGTTGTGGAGTTGTGATCCTAATAGCAGCTGCATGGTGAACAGGTTGCTAATACCCCCCCACCCCCCACCCCCCGCTCTGCTCCGTTTTATTTGCCAAAGCTGAGATCTGGTGGTGCCCGGCCCGGCATTGCCTGCTGGCGTTCTCAGGGTGGGGGGTGGGGCTCTGGCCACCTGGGAAATGGCCGCAGAGATGAGCAGCATCGTGGGTGAGCACCGCTCACGTGTGGGAGAAAGCACTCTGGCGTGGCCACCGTGTGGGATTCCCTGAACTGGAAAAGCAGTTGCTTTCCCACCTGGGGCAGGTGCTAGCGACGGGCGTGACCCCTCAAGAATGCTGCCTCGTGCCTGTGACCATCTTAGTTGGAGGACTCGTAAGACATCTTTAGGATCGGGAGGAGCCTTTGCTGGCCCAGGGGCCCGACCGGTTTAGGCCGTGGCGATTTGTTCACTTCCTGCTTTGCGTACCGATTTCCCACCACTTTTCAGCCTTTCGTGGGCCCTGGCAAGTTCCGAGGCCTCTCCTGTTGGCTAACAGGCATTCAGGACGCCTTCCTGGTGTAGTAGCTTTTTATTTTTTTTTTTAATTAAAGATCGTGTTTATTTATTTGAGAGGTAGAGCTACAGACAGAGGGAGTTAGACACAGAGAGAGGTCTTCCGTCCACTGGTTCATTCCCCAAATTGTTGCAACGGCCGGAGCTGCGCCGATCCAGAGCCAGGAGCTTCTTCTGGGTCTCCTGCGCAGGTGCAGGGATGCAAGCACTTGGGCCGTCTTCTACTGCTTTCCCAGGCCACAGCAGAGAGCTGGATGGGAAGTGGAGCAGCCAGGACTTGAACTGGTGCCCATGTGGGATGCCTCTGCCTGTGGCGCCACAGCACCAGCCCCGGTGTAGTGGCTTTTATAAGGGGTCATGGACACTGGGCCCCGAAGTCTCTTTTGCCACCTTGATGGGGTTCTGCTGCCGGCTCAGGTGTCTCTCTGGGCCCGCCCCTTCCGTTCTTCCTCCCATCTTCCCTGCTTCCCGGTGGGGCCGTCCACTGCAGCCGCGTCCCATTTCTTACTGGTGCCGCCCTCCTGCTAGTTACAGAGGAGCCTGTAAGCTTGGGGTGGGTTTCTGCTTTTCCCTTCTTCTCCGCACCCTTTATTATAGAAAGTTCTACATCTTTAACATGTAGGGTAATCGGTGAGGCGGGGAAATCAAAGGGGATTTAAGAAATCACAAATAGGATGTTGGGATATGTGTCAAGTACAAGGAACGTCATACTTAGGTCAGGAAGGACCTGAGTTGAATGTTGGGTGGGCCCATTTCTCAGCTCTGGGACCCCAGGAAATGGTGTGAGCTTTTGACTGTGTATCTGCTAAGAAAGACAGAGAGAGAGAGAGAGCGAGCGAGCGAGCACGCGCCATCCGGAGTGGCACTGTTTCAATAGCATAATGTGTGTAATACATTGAGCATAGCGCCTACAACATAGCAGAGGTTCAGTAAATCTGACCGTCAGCGTGAGTAACAGAATCATTCAGTTAGGCTTGGATTGCTCTCCTGGAGAGGGTACGAGAGACCAGTGGCCCATCCGTGACCCGTGAAGGAAACTGGCCCTCCCAGCCAGCACCGTCCACCGTCGCTTGTCAGAGACACCTGACCGGAAAGATGATGGAGGCTCCCGTTGCCAGGCAACCAGTAGGCAGAGCTGTCATCATCATAGTTCAAGTTAGTTGATGCAGGGTGAGGGGACAGATAAGGTGCTAATACGTATGCTGCACTGTCGTGACCAAGCATAAAGGTGATCTTAAAAGTATGCTCCCTGAAGGGTCGGAGGCTGGGAGAGGGCGGCCCGCAGAAATAAACATAATGGCAACAAACTAATAACTGCAACAGTGGCTGTAGCTTCCACAGAGCAGTTCGAATAGCCATCTTTTTAAAGCATAACTTAGTAATCTGGTTGGTTTATTTTCAATTCTTTGTTTTTTTTTTTTTTTAAACTTTACTTACTTGAGTGACCGAGACCCAGTGAGACAGATTGAAAGATGGAGAGCCCCATGTCAGCTCTTCACGCCACAGATGCCCACAAGAGCCAGGCCTGGGCCAGGAACTCAATCCAGGTCTCCCTCGTGGGTGGCAGAAGTTTAGTCATCTGAGCCATCGCCGCTGCCTCCCAAGGGCCGCCTTGGCAGGAGGCTGGAGCTGGCGCCAAACCCAGCCCCTCCCAGGTGGGACGCCGGTCTGTCTACCTCCAGGTTAAGCACCTGCTGTCGACACCGTGCCTTGACCTTAGAGCTGTTGTGAGAATAAGCTTCATCGTCCTTTCTGCTTTGGACTCGAGAACCCTAGGAACAGGGGGTGGAAACGACCGCTCAGCCCGTAAAAAGTGGACCAGGATCTCACACCCATCCCGTCCCCCAGGGCTGCAGGGTTTCAGGAGAGAAAACAGACATGCGTGGAGCAACCATGGCAATGCAGATCCTAAGGGCCACCGGCATTCAGGAGCTGCTGGGGACTGTCCACGAACTCTGCAGGCTAAGAGGAGATCCGGCGGGCCTGGGATGGCACCCGGGGGCAGGAGGGGCCCCCAGTCTGAGTGGAGCCGCAATGGCTGCAGGGCCTGGGTCGCATGGGGGAAGATCTGCTCTTGTGGGGGGCAGGAGGGGAGCAGGACAGTGAAGGGTTTAATTCTTTAACTGATTCTGCTTGTATTCCCTCTAGTCTTCATTAAAAAAAAAAAAAAAAACCTCCCAGGGGCTGGTGCTGTGGCGTAGCAGGTAAAGCTGCCGCCTGAGAAGCCGGCATCCTATATAGGCACCAGTTCGAGTCCCAGCTGCTCCACTTCCGATCCAGCTTTCTGCTATGGCCTGGGAAGGCAATAGAGGATGGCCCAAGTCCTTGGGCTCATGTCACTTATGTGAGAGACCTGGATGAAGCTCCTAGCTCCTGACTTTGGCCTGATTGAGCCCTGGCCATTGGTGGCCACTTGGGGGAGTGAACCAGCGGATGGAAGATCTTTCTCTCTCTCTCTCTCTCTTTGTAACTCTGACTTTTAAATAAATAAATATATCTTGAAAACAAATACCTTCCCAACAGCCTAAATAATGCCATCCATCCAACTGTGGGCATCTATGAGTGCCTGTTGGGTGGCGGACCTGAGTCGGGTGCTGGAGATCCAGTTGTCAAACGCTGCTCCTAGGGCATCCTTGGCGAAGGTGACACACTCAGAGACGATGTCCGGGGCTTGTGGCTGCAGAAGCAGTTCAGTCACTGTGCTGTCTCAAGCCTGGGCCTCCCTGACACGCTGTGTCTAGTCTGGGCCTCCCTAACACTGGGTCTAGCCTGACGCTGGGTCTAGCCTGGGCCTCTGACGCTGGGTCTAGCCTGACGCTGGGTCTAGCCTGGGCCTCTGACGCTGGGTCTAGCCTGACGCTGGGCCTAGCCTGGGTCTAGCCTGGGTCTAACCTGACGCTGTTTGGTCTCACGCCAGCTCCTGAGACCACAGGCAGACACACAGCTCTCAGCTTCTTCACATCCCTCCTGCCCTCCGTTCCAGAAGCTTCCTCAGTCGAATGGGGGGGGCCGAGAGAAGGTACGCAGGGACGTGAGAGGCTCAGAAATGTGCAGGAAGAGAAAGGACTTTAGTTCTTGATTTCCTCTTCTGAAACAAGTTTCAAAATGTTACTGCCTTAATCGCGCCCTTCCACAGCCATCTGGAGTTGAACTTGGAGTTGGATGTTGTGAACCATTGCTCCCCTCCCCGGGAGGTCCGTGGTGCCCTGCAAGGTATTTGCAGCTTTCCTTGTTGGCCAAGTTTTCAGACATTCCTTTTGTAAGATTTATGTTCAGATTAATTTACATTGAAAAGCCAGTGAGCAGTTCATTCTGGCCAGAATGTTGTTGTTGTTGGTGGTGGTGTGTGTGAGTGAATGTAGGAGGGGTATATGCATTTTCTTC